AGGATAAGCATGTGGTTCTACTGGAATGGGCCATCTTGAGAGCAGCTGTGAAGACTTTGGCTGCGGGGAGTGGGAACAGGAAGAGGGCAAGGCCTTGGAGTGGCTTGCCTCCTTCACCTGCAGCAAGTTCAACCAAAAGCTGCTTCCAGTGTACTTCAAGACTGACAGCTTGCTCAGAGGAGATGCTAGCCAGACAGCCTAGCAGTCCGGTGTTTGCCACAAGGAAGGTAGAACATGTGTCTTTGAAAGAGAAATTGTAAGAAAAGTATTCTTTTGTTCACTAAGATAATATGGTGCATGGATCTTTCCCAGTGAGAATATCTAATATTATTTAGAATGATGACATCTTAGTTTTATCAAAAAAGAATTTTCGATTGGAACTGCCTCAGAAGGAGATCACAGCTTTTGGGAAACCCCAGCAGTTCCTGGGCAAACAGGCATTTGGTATTGCACCTGAGCAGGCAGTTGGTAGCAGTGGAAAGGGCTCTGGGGGTGGGAAGGCACCGCCCAGGCCTCCCGACCAGGAGGGCAGTCTCAGAGGAGGAGGCCTCTGTGCGGCTGAGACCCCAGGCAGCACCGAGAGACAGGCCTTTTAAGACCTTCTGGGCTGGTTCCTGGTGACAAGTGGGTCTTCTTGCTGAGCTAGGCTGGGCCGAGGGTGTGCCAAGCTAAAGGATACATCATGGTCTCAAAGACCATTTTAAATCAAAGTAATGCTTTGACTTTGAGAGGCTCAGACCTCTGCTGCCGCAGTTTGCTCTGGACTGAGGGACAGAGGCACCCCCAGCAGGCCAGCGTGCCTTGGCTGTAGGCCCTCCTCTCTGTCAGGCCTGATGAACAGCTTTTAGGAGGTCTGACCCTTCAAGGGAAAGATGCCTCAGCCTTATAATGGATGCCATTTATTTGTTGGAAACCAGTCACTTTCCTTCCCTCTCTTGATTTCAGAAGACCTGGAGAGTGGGAGGAGCGAGCCCCTGGTCTGAGGAGTTGGGGCAAGCCCGGTGTAGGTGCTTATTTTCCTCAGGGCGTTTCCAGCCCCTATGGGGGCTTGGGCAGCTTTTTCATTTGCTGGACTCATTCAGTTAAATACTTGGAGTTTTTATCACCCTTAACTAGTTTCAAGAGAATTTGACCTCTTGCCTTTCCAATTTAAGATTTCCCCAGAGGCCCTTCAAGGTACAGCTGTGTTCTGGGCCACCCAGCTTTGTAGCCTCGGCCCAGCACTGCCAGTAGATGAAACCTGCATCTGGTTAGCTCAGTTTTTTTAGCAAAAAGCAAGTCTTGGGCATGGGATTCTAGAGCTGGAGGATTCCTGGAGCCAAGCAGTCAGTCCATCCCTACCTCTATGGCCCAGGAGTGAGGGTGAGCAGAGGGAAAGCACTGGGTCACGGATAACACACAGGTGAGAGCTGGGATGCCATCAGCATGCCAGTGTTGAAGCTGAGGCGGGGGCTCGGTCCCCTCTGGGCAGAAACGGGCCAGTGTGTCCCTGAAAGATGGGCCTCAGTACCACCTCCCTGCCAGCAGACTATGCCTTATGGGGAGCAGTGTGGAGCCCCTGACCTCAGAGCATGTGGCCACAGTCTCTGCTGGCACCAAAGTTCTGTGCACGCCAGCCAGCCTCCTGCCAGGGAACACAGCCCTGACCCAGTGCTGAGGTTCTGCACCCTCCCCCTCACTTCCCCTCCATGGGACCATTGGCTGCCTTGGCCACAGCAGAGTGAAGAGTTAACATTCAGGAGCTGGAGAAAGTCTGTGTTTTGTTCGGACAGGCCGTGAAGACATAGGTAACTCCAAGCTGTTACCAGGTACCTCTAGAAAATGTCAAGCCGCCCATCTCCCTGCCTGCCCTGCTCTGGCATGCCTTGGGCTTCCTCACTCCGCCTGTGTTGAGCTGTGCCTGAGAATGGGAACACCCTCTTCACTGCTGGAACCTGTGGAAGCTGGAACCAGTCTTCTAGGCTTTGCCCAAAGGCTCTGTCCCCGTCAGATGTTCCTGGATCGCCCCTTCCTGGTGCCCAGGCCTTGTGGGTTCTGCCATGTATTTGGTTGGCTTTTCCAGCTCCCAGCAGATGTGAAGACTCCTTTCCCTACCCCCACCTTCCAGGCAGTGCACATTTAGACATAACATCACAGTGTCACAGAGAGGTTACTGGTTCTATTTTACAGATAAAGAAACAGAACCTCAGAACCTCAGAAAGGTCACTTGTCAGAAGTTATGGACGGTGGCACTGGGAGAGGCCTTGAAAGCTGTCCTCACCTCTTCTGACCAGAGTGAATACCCAGCAATACCCAATGTTTGCTGGATGAATGAGTCAGTGGATTAACTAAGCATGCAGTGTCCCTTGTTCTCTGCAAATCTGAGAGCAGACCCAGGAAGTTGTTTCTAGATTTAGCAGGCACTGCTATCAGGTGCTTTGCTAAGGGCCTTCTTGAAGGTGACCGGTGACTGTTAGGTAGCCATGGGTCTCCGTCAGTCCCCACTTCCTGGCTCAGGGACCCCAAGCTTTTCTGGAGGGGGTGGGGCAGAACTAGAGCCCTAGAAACAATGTAGGACACAGCTTTAGTTCTGTGATCACTGCAGTCTTGGAATGTGGGGTGTCTTAGGCACTGAAGGGCTAGTTAGGGAATTTACTTTCAGGTATAAGAGAGCATCCACAGGAAAGGGCCTCGGGGAATGCAGGTTACCTTCTTCCTGCCAAACTTGCAGGGAGTGACCTCTTCTCTACAGTCACATTCCTTACAAGAATCCTGGCAGCAAGATTCTTTAGCTATCTCAATACACAGGTAAGAAAGTGGAGGTTTGGAGAGGGCTGATCTGCCCTGGTTAGAGAAGAGCCACAGACCACAATCCTGTTGTTCCAACCAAACCATCACCTCAAGGCAAACAGGGCCTGCTGGGAATTGAAGACAAGAGCAAAGCCCTGGGGCTTAAGTGGCTCTGTTTTAGACAAATATTTAACCCCCTGGAAGCCTGAGCTTTCTTCCAACATTGTTTGCAGTACTGGGAGAAAATCAAACTCCTGAAAGGCCTCTCTGCAAGCCCACAGCATGGTGGGTGGGCTGTAAAATCACCCAGAGTGAACTAGTCTCAGGCTAGTGGGGGGCCCTCTTGTTCTACTACAGTTGGTGGCCTGTCGTACAGGGCCTGGTTTTTCCCACACAGGAATGAGGAGGGACTGTGCCAGGTGGGGACTAGGTGGGCCTATTCCCAGGCTAAGTACTGGCCCAATCAAGGGCCCAAGGGCATCAACTGAGGCTTTCAGCAGTCCCAGCAGGGATGGGGGCAGGGTGGGGTTCTGCTTGCTTGTCCACAGTTTCTGGTCTGCCTGAAGAAATTTCAGCACTTCCAGTCCTTCACCTGGATATCATCTGTGCCTTGGTTCCTGCTCATGGTAGGCTGGGTGGGAGATGCCCAGCTCTCATTTCATCCTCACAATAACCTGTGAGGCCTCATGGCCTCCCCCATCCCTCTAGTATCTCCTGCTTCCCTTTCCTCCTCACTCTGTGTTCTAACCCTACCAGCGCCCCCACCCCACCCCCGCAACATGCCAGCTGAGCTCCTAGTCTGGGGTGTTTGAACCAGCTGCTCTCTCTCTTGGACTATTTTCCTTCCACGTGCTGCTGGGCTCCCTCCCTCACTCATGTCTCAAAGGCGACCTTCTCAATGAGGCCCACAATGGTCAACCCCTTTCAAGTTGATACCCCCTTACTCTGCTTTTCACCTGGTACTTACTATTTTCTTACATACTGATTACAGCAGGTCCTCAAACAACGTCTCATTCAACATTGATGAGATGCTAGGAAATTGACTTGCTTATATCAATTAGCCTATGGTAAAACAGGTTCCATTGTAGGCACATTTGCCCCAGTTCCAAGAACCTATCAATGACGGTTAAGTGAGAACTTGAATGTCTCTTCATCCACTGGAATGTAAGCACCATGAGAATAGAACTCTTTTTCCTTGCCATTCCCCCAATATTTGGGCAACAAATGAAGGAACTCGCGAGTAGAAATTAAGCTCCCCTTTCACAAAGAAGGAGCACCTGGCCTCAAGTGTGTAAACAAAGGGTCTCAATCCCAGAGGGTGATGGGCGGAGCCAGAGTGTGAGCATCGCCCACCACTCGTTACTGCTCCCTGCCTTCCCCACGTAACCAGTTTTCCCGGTGTACCTGGGACTAGGCAGCTGCTCGGTGGCTTTATTTTGGTGGCAAAAGGTGGGACACCAGTGACTAAAGCACTGAAATGGAAGACCCGGTGTGTGTGCCCACGTTCAACAAATCCAGCAGGTAAAAAACCTAACTTTAAATTAGCTTATAATGGTTTCAGTATCAAAGGACCTAGACCGGGCTTGCTGCTTTTGTTTTTAATTCTCCACTTTGGGTGTTTGAAATGCTTTCTTTTTCCTCTATATGAGAATAGTAGACAATAAGGATGCAATTTAAGAATCAAATCAACAAGCTAATGTCTAGCATCGTGAATGCAGTTAACTCCTTGCCATGTGTCTTCCCGAGGAAAAGCGCGCTGGCCGGCATGGGTGCTGAGCAAAGCCACGGTGGAAACCGAGGGGACAGGGCCCTGGCGTCTAAAGCCCAGCTCGGTCCGGAGCCTCTGTCGCGCTTTGGGGGGCTCTCTCGAGCCTTGCACCCCGACCTCCTCCCCCTCCTGCCGGCTACTTGTACAGCAAGGCCACTTTCCTGGGAAGCCTGCGTGCGTTGGCTGGGTGTCCGAGAGCCAATGGGGCGGGGTGAAGGGGGGTAAGTTGCAAAAGCCAGCTGTATGCCGCTGTGGCAACTCAGTTCTGTCCCCAGGGCACCTTGCCCGCTGCTAGCCTGGAGACCCGACCCATCCGGTGTGCGCCAGCTTCGTTCCCAGTGCAGCCTGCCAGCTTGGGTGGCCATTGTCTCCCATTGGGTTAGACCCCTGAGGGCGGTCACAGGACCTGAGGGTGTAGGCGCCTCCCACTGCCGCAATAAGGAGACGGAAAGGTGCTGGTGTTTTCCAAGTACCAAGTCATTTAACCTCGCAGTCATCCTGTATATAAAATCATAGTGTGAGGTAGACATTCGTATCCCCATTTTGCAAATGGGAAAACTGAGGCTCAGAAGATGTGGCGATAGTCTTGGAGGTGGAAGAGCTGCCGGGTCCCCTTCGGACCCAGGCCGTGGCCAGTGCCCATCCGCGACCCGGTGACCTAGCGCGGGAGCAGCTTGCGGAGGGCGGGGCCCGGCGCCGACAGGCAGCGCGGAGGCTGGTCCGGGATCATGGTTGCACTGTGCTCAGCGTGCACAGCCAGGAGCGGGCACGCTGCACGCAGGCGGCGCAGGCCGGCGGCGCTCACGTTGCGGCAGAAGTCCACGTGCAGCGTCTGCAGCGCGCACCCGTGCGCCGCCACGGCCATCAACGTGCGGTTGGTGACACGCGCGCAGTTCTCGAGGCGCAGCGTGCGCAGGCGCGGACAGCACCGCAGTAGTCGGGCCAGGCAGTCGTCGGTGACGTGGCCACACCCAGACAGCGTGACGGACACCAGGTTGGGGCACCTGCGGAGGGAATGCGGTAACAGCGGCTCGGACCACGCCTGTGCCAGAGCCCTCGGGTTCGGTTGTCTTCCGAGCTGCTGTGGGGGCGGTTTCCAGAGCAGGAACCGGGCCCAGCGGGTTTGAGGAACTTACTGCCTGCGATGAGACAGCCAGTGTCTGAACCAGAGCTCCTGTCTCATTCCCCCTCGGGGCACCGTAATCCGCGTGGGTTCTGGGCCCCCAGTGGGAAACCCAAGCCCTGGTCCTGCTGGGACAGAGGGGATGCTGGTTCCAGGAGGGACAACTGTATTTTCTTTGGATCTTCTCATTTGTTGCCGTGGGTGGTGCGGCGTGTGGTGACCACGGGACCGCGCCAGTCTGCCCTGGAGCTGAGGCCCCGACTCTCCTGGCCTCCTGGCGAGAGAGAAGCGGGGAGGAAGGGTTTCCTGTCGGGTGGCCTAGAGACGGGCCCACTCCTACCCTTGAGGAGGGGAAGGGGTGGGGAGCTCTGGGTTCTAAAGTCCTGGTTTCAGCTCCGTTGACAGAGGCGGTTACTGCATCCCCGCTGGCATCCCACACTGCAGAGGGTCGGAACCAGAGGCAGCTGGAACCAGACCCAGGGTGAGAACAGCCAGGGACAGGGAGTGGCTTGTTAAGATGCTTGGAGGCCCCTCTGCCCTAAGACCTTGAGCAGAGTTTGTCTGGGCTGATTTGCAGTGCGACCTTGGCCAAGTCACTCACTGAGCCCACTGCCGGTGGGGGAGCAGGGAGGGAGTAATGCCTGCCCATGCGGTTGTGACCATTTTGATTTGGGCTGTCAGGAGCTTTTTATAGGTGATTGTAATCCTCTCTTGGTAGTAAACAGAACCAGACTGCTTCCGGTCAGGAAGGACCTACGGTGGGCACAGGCCTTGGCCCCCTATAACCAGAGGGAGCTGGAGGCTGAACTGGGAGTTTGGGGATGGGGTGGTCCCTGTCCTTTCCCCATTAGCCTCTCCTCAGCCCCTTGACTGCCCCTGCCTGGGCCAGCTTGGCCCCCTGGCGCCAGGGGCAGGGGGTAAGGAACTAGAGTAAATGTGCTTGGTCACGTTTCTCACACAACCCATGCCATCCTCCTGTGTTCGCCTGCCTTCCGTAGTCTTTGCATAATCTCTGCACCCTCAGTTTTGTGGATGAGAAATTGGCCCAGAGAGCTCAAGTGACTTGCTTGTTGTGTATTTGTCCGTCTGAGCCAGGACAAAGGCCTAAAACTTGCAGGGCCACCTGCTCATCCGTTAAGTGGGAGAAATTGTTATCTTCAGGGTGGTTGTGAGGATTAGGTGTTTAGCCTCAAGGGTATTGAGTGATCCCTTCCTCTAGGAACCTTTAGGATAATTCTGGTGCTGGAAGAAACCAGAGACGGAAAGAGCCAGCGCCTCCCCCGCCCATCCAGCCACAGCTGTTCCTCACCTCCACCCCCAGCTGACTGCCCAAACAACCCGGTTTGATTCTTATTGGTACCTACTGTGTGCCAGTGCTACTGTGTCATTTAATCCTCACTGCATGTTAGACAGGTTATTTGTCCCATTTTACAGATAAAAGAGGTTGGAAGTTCAAATATTTGGGTTAGGGTCCCATGGTCGGAGCATAGCAGAACTGGGGGACTCAGCACAGAACCCTGACACACCTTGCTGGTTTGGGGATTAAATCTGGTTCCCTCACAGCAACACCGGAATAACCTCAGGGCAAACCTCCTCCCTCAAACACGTCTCCCTCCAGTCTGATTTCTGGGCCTTGTTTAAACCCATAAACGTGGCCTGGCCCCAGCAGGGCTAGTCCCCGGCCCATCTTGATTTCTTCCTACTGCATTCAAAAAAGAAATGTGGGCTACCACACTATTCTATTCCAGTCACATTGCCAGCAAACAGCAGCTATTACATCTGAGGGGCAGCAAGCTGGCCGAGCCTCTTGGTCAGTAGCCAAGAGGCGCTTTCCTGACGGGCAGGACAGATGCCTGGCGGAGGAGAGGCTCGGTAGAAGCCTGCCGGAAGTCGGGGTTCTTGCTCTAGCAGGAGGCTCTGACCAGGGAAGGGGCCTGGCTGGTGGCTCAGACTGTGTCTGCAGTAACGTTGACATATCAAATACAAGGTGTATTTGGACATACTTACAATAAAAAATACCTGAAATTCAAATTAAATGGGATGTCTTGAATTTTCATTTGCTAAAATCTGACTAACCTAGATTGTGGGCAGATCCCATGATCTAGAGGTTTGGTTTGCTCATTTGAAAAATCAGGCTAAAACACCCTCCCCTGGGATCACCGAGGAGAGTAGCGAGTTTCTAATGAGGCAGCCATGACTAGGTGTTACCACCCCTGCCCTGAGTGCCGCTGAACCCCAGTACCCAGTTCTCACTCCTCAGCTGCAGTTCTCAAGCCTTGGGGCTTGTCTGCTGGAGGGAGAGTGGAGGGGAGAGCTGATCGCTGAACCTAGAAATCTATCTGTAGGGTCTGACCTCGAAAAGTCTACGCCAAGCTGCATCCACCCAGCATTTAATGGCTGCCAGGAAGGACAGTTGCCCCAAGGTCAGTGACAGCCTAGCTCTTCCTCTCTGCTCCAGGACCTGTGAGGCGAAGAGGAGGTTGTTTCCCTGCGCTTTCACTAATTCCCTGGGGACTGCTGTGGATGGGCCTGGAGGGATGCCTGGGGCCCAGTCTGAGGATCTCTTGAGGCAGGGCCATCTTGGTCTTGTGAGCTGCTGCTCTTCCCTGACCCCCGGAAGCCTCCCAGAGCTCTGGATGCCAGCGCTGCTCGTGAGGCAACCTACCTGTCACACACCTGGAGGAGGAAGTCGTTGACCAGGCTCTCATGCGGGCTGCAGATGCCCCTCTGGAAGGCGCTCTTGAGCCAGTCCTCGATGCTGCACACCTGCACGCGGCTCGAGTGCCAACAGATGGAGAGGCTCCTGAGTGCCGGGCTCAGGAGGAAGTTGTCCTTCGTGAGTTCTGTGAGGGAGCGGAAGTGCAACAGGGGCCAGAGTGCAGGGTCCTCAAACACATCCTGGAGCTGGGGGCAGGTCCTGGCGAGGTTCTTTCTGCTGTCCTTGTCCAGGAAGGAGAAGAGGTGCAGCAGGCACTCGTGGTTGAGCTGCGTGATGTGCATGGTGTGCAGTGGCCGTGGAGTGTGGCCAGAGCCCAGGGGCCTGACCTGCCTCCTGCTGCTCCTCCCCAGCTCCGGGCTGGTGGACATATATGGTTGTGGAATGGGGTTTATTTTGGGCTAACAACCGGTGCTGGAGCTGGGAGGGGGCCGGATCCAGACGTACGTGCAGCAGTCTGTGTCTCGGCTTATGTTCAGAGGAGCTGGAAATCCTGGCAGAAAAGCAACCTATTGAAGTTAAATATTTTCCTTAAAAGGGATTTCTTTTCCTTTTAGCGGACAGTGGTGTTCAACAGCAAGTTCCTTTGGCTTTTCCCGAGGCATTTTCATGCTCGGTGGCTAGCCAGGCCACCTTTGTCTGGGCTTGTAGGCTGTGCTCAGGGGAGGGGCTCTAATTCTACAGTGTCTTTCTTTCTGGTGCCGTGCATCAGTCCGGGCCTCTCGCCCCACTCTAGTAGGAAGAAACCTTGTTGTCTGTGAAGAGCTAAGGGTGGCAGTTTTGTGTTCAGAGCTGTAAGCGGAAGCCACGGGTAACACCTCTCTCCTGTGTTCACTCAGCGGGGATGGTTTCTGCAGGCTGGGCTGAGCTGCCTTCAAACCTGCGGCCCTCCACAGGCAGAGGGAGTCCCCGGCCTCCCAGCTGCCTTCCAGCTGTTCCATAACAGATTTTTATTTTGCTTTTTTCCATCACCATTTATCCCCGCCACCCCCTCCCTGTACACTCTTCCACCTCCACCCACCCAAGACTTATCTTAAGTAGTTTATATTTGCAATTTCTTCCGTGAATGTCATGTTTTCAGTTTTCTTGCTTAACCTTTTTCTAATGTCCCCCGCTGTATCTAGCCTATATTTCCCAAAATGCCAGGACGGATGTGGTAGCTCTTCACACAAAACTTCTTGAAACAATTTTAAGTTAAAGTACTTTAGTCTAAGCCTGCTCTTCAAGCCAGCCACACACCGTCCATGTGAATGCCTTCAGTTCCTCTTGACAAGTTGCCTGCAAGTCTTATCCATTAAGTTCTCTCCTCCTAAAGGAACCGAGATGTTGCAATACATGGATCTAGTTCCTAGAACTGCCTGCTTGAATCCCAAGCCTACTCTGGGTCCTGCGGGGATTCCCCTGCTCTGAAGGCCTGGCTTTGTGTGCGGGGGGGGGCGGGGGGGGCGCTGGTTTTGGGGGATAAGCAGCCTTCTGCTTGTGCAGGAAGGAGGGAAGTGTTTCCTCTGCTAGACTAGGGAACACCTCGGGGATTATCCCTCTTCCTGCTTCCATTTCATTGGAATTGAAAGGAACGGGAATACTTTGTTCCCAGTTGTGTGGAGTAACAGGGATGGAGCAACTATGCTGGACCCTCTTCAGGAACTATGTCTGGGTCAGGCCTGGGGCCGCTTTGCTTCTAAAAGCTGAAGGCAGCTCGGGGAGGAAAGGGGCCGTTCTAGCCAGCAGGTGCTCCAGGAAGCCCGTCCAGGTGTCGGCTGTGCCTGGGTTACCCCAAGAGTTGCCAGGGGCAAGGTGGATGGGGTGGCTTTTCTTAAAAACAAATCAAAAAAAAAAAAACCTAAAAGGAAGAAGCTTTTCTCCAGGAAAGGGTGAGTAGCTGGTATTTCAGGGTAATCATTTTAACTGTTCGAAATGACAGCCGAAGCTCCTCTCTGCGCTCTAGCTGTACTTCACTCCCTCGGGTGGGCCTAGTACAAAGCCTCAGCATCTCCACCTCCCGTCCCAAATCCTTTCCAAACCAGACTCTCAGAAGACTGACCCCTGGCTCAGTCAGCTTAAGAGGCAGAGCCATGTGAGTGCGCTGGCCCCTGCGAAGAGTCATCCTGGTTCATCATGGTCGCAGCCTGCACTCCCACCGCCCTGCTGGATAGCAGAGCCCTGGCAGGGTGACCGTGTAGAGCCTGGACCCCTGCCGCTCCTCTGGGTGGGCCCAAGGAAGCATCCAGAATGCCGGGTGGGCCCGTGTCAGCAAGGAGGGGCCTGGCTCAGGCCTGGGGGTGCTGATGGCAGCAGCACCGCTCCTTTGTGCCTGTGTGGAGCCTGGAGCCTGGCCCCTTGGCTGCAAAAACAGCAGCTGCACCGCTTCTGACCGGCGCACAGCTGCAGAAGGGAACGTGTGATATGGGGCCAGCTGCAAAGGGTTTGCTGCCCTGGCTGGGTGGCTCCGGTGGGGCCTTGTGCATGTGTACTTAAAAGGTTGAGGGTTTGATCCCCCCGTCTGGTGCAGACAGGAGGCAACCAGCCGATGTTTTCCTCTGTCCCTTCCTCTCTCTCTCAAAATCAATAAACATATCCTTGGGTGAGGTTTTAAAACAGTGTTTGGGTCTCGGACACCTCTGTCTTCAGCTTCATTTCTTTTTTCCTTTTTATTAACTTACCGGGGTGACATTAGTTAACAAAATGGTGTAAGTTTCAGGTGTGCAGTTCTGTGATACATCATCTGTATTTGTGTGTTCACTGCTGCATGTCTTTAGTTTTTTTAGAAGACTGATAGGAACAGGTAAGTAACAGGAAAACCAGGGGTGTGACACAGGGTGGTTTCTGATTTTTCTGTTTGCAGGGGACATGGGGGCAGAGACGTAGCATATAAGAGCTTACTGTAGAGCTTACTGTTACTTTTTAACAGCTCTCACCTGCTTGTTTTACTTTAAAAGAAGCCCAATATCCTTTGCTCAGAGCACCAAATCTGGTTCCTCAGGATAGAGTCCAGCTGGGACCTCATTTTTATAAGGTCACCTGGCACCAGGACAGACAGGATGACTTCATTCCGAACGGTGAGCTTCCTCGGGCCTGGAGCAGGCCCAGGAGGTCCTCTTCCCGCCACCATCTCCCGCCACCACCTCCCGCCACCACCCTGGCCCTCCAGGTCACTCCATCCGGGCCGCACGCCAGCAGCCTCGGATGGTGAGGGTTCTGTGGGAGCTGACCCACTGGTGACCGACTGACAAGGCCCAAGCTTGAGGATGCTGTTGTTTAGCTGACTCCACTAAAAGGTGTTCAGAAATAATAGTCAGAGGGAAAGATACCAGACTTTTAATGATAACTTCCCATAAATCAGTTCAAGCTGTTGAAACAGAAAAGGGTGTGATTACAACTTCAACAAAATCGGTCACCTGCACAATTGACCCTCGGCATCACACAGACTAGGCTCTAATGGCGAACGATTACATCACGGCACAACCAACGCTTGCGGAGGGCGGTCTGGAGCCCGCCGCGCTCAGACCTGAGGGGAAGGGCTGCGCTGGTGAGGCCGCGCGGAGACCCCGCGCCACAGCACGCCGCCCCCAGCCGCACCTGGGACAGGCCCCGGCTGCGGAACAGACCAGGCTCCTGAGCTCCTCCGGGGCCGAGGGGAGAGGCCCCTTCAGCAATAGAGGGGTCGTGAGAGCATTAGGGGGATGTGGGGGTTGAAGTGGGGTAAGTACATCTAAATAGACTTATGTACAGTAGACCGATGAAGGGGAGGTTTGGCTTTAAGAAATAAATATGTCCCCAACCCCCGAAACCGAGCTGCTGAGTAGGTTCCACAGGTGAGATACACATTTAACATTCAACCAGGGCCAGTCCACTCGACTGGTTTAATTCCATTACATTTGTCATCACTAGACACTGAGTAGAATACAGTGGATAAGCAAAGGTTTCTCCACCATGGAGAGAGATTTGTGTTGCCACAAACTGTTTCTGTCACCCACCCACGTGGGAGGACTTCTGAGAAAGTCTCCTTGTCCAAGGAGCCCCGTGACCCGGCGTGAGGCCCTGCCTCAGCACGGGCGCTCTGAGCGAGAAGCCTCACGTGTGCCGGAGAAAGCATGGCACGAGGGGAAAGCCCTGCAGAGCACAAAAAGGTCAGGTTTTAAAGTAGGTGTGGTAAGGCTACAGTTAAATTTTTAAAATACAGTTAGGCACATTTACATCATGTGTTCAAGTGCATGATTCAAATGGATCCGATCACTTTCCAAAGAGCCTTCATGATATTCAAACATTTCTTCATAAGAAAAATCAAGCAATGAAAATACTACAAAAATTCAAAGAGGAGATGTGTTCGTCTCTTAAGCCAGCAGTGCTGCCTGACTTTCCCCAGCAAAGCCGCCCGGTCCGTGGCTAAGCTCCACCTGGCATAAAAAGACAGCTTTTCTCCACTACCATCAGCACTGCCCAAGGCTTTTTTGCTGAAGTCGTAACAGCTGCCCCTTCAGAGACTCACGATCTCGGCGCACACGTTATAAGTCACAGCTGTGTACCTTCCAAAGCAAAAGAGCCGTGATTCGTAGGAGACACTTAGTAAGGTCACAGGAGTGGTGTTCATGTGTCAAATGTATTAGATCACACTGAGTGAAGCTGTCGTTTTTGTCAATCAAAATCAGTCAAATATGACAATTTCACATGGTTCACACAATGTAATTTAACATTGTGACCCAGTATTATTTTTATGTTGTTAACTATTTTAAATACATGTTCCCCTCTTGATTATCTTCTAAATTTTAAGTCCTAAACATGACAGCTAGGTTTATTTTCTCTGGAGTGAAAATCTAGACCAGCACCCTCCAAGAACTCTCCACGTGTTGATGGAGATGTCTTAGATCTGTGCAGTACTCTGCCATGTGGCTGTTGAGTGCTTGAAACGTGGCCAGTGTGGCTGAAGAACTGAGTTCTTACACTTATTTGATTTTAATGAAATTGGTGGCTGGTGACCACCATGCCGGGTAGGACAAGGTTAGGAGCAAAATGAAATCATTTTGCTGGTTGTGTTCCAATGGACGGGAGCTCCCTTCTCTCTGCCAGGCAGGACGCTGCCTATTCATGAGCTGTTGGATGAAGCCAGTTAGAGCTTTAAAAAATCCCAAAAAGCCGTAAGTGTTTAGCATTCGTGGTCTGCTCTGAGAAAACGTGGGACTTAATGTATGGTATTTTAGTTTCAAATTTCAATTTGAGTTAAACCTAAATAATGCTTTTACCTAGTTTTCTTGTAAACAATTTTTAAAAACACTACTAAGAAATAGAAACTACTTATTCAAAGGGAGAACATTTTCATCTTGCCCTGCTGTCAGGATAGGCCAATGGGTTTTTAAACCTCGGATAATAACGACCCTCATTTCCTTCAGTAGGAGCAGGCCCGCGGCGTGACCTGAGGCACAGGTGACGGCCCAAATAGACTCTGGGGGTCAGCATCTCCACCCCGAAAGGCCAAGCAGGGAGTGAGACTAAAGTGGACATGCAGTTACACCCCCGCTGCAGCGAGTGAGGGCGCCGGTGCTGGTGCAGAGAAGCACACAAGCTGCGGCTGCCCCTCACCGGCAACACCTACACCGTGCAGCTGAGTACGGAATCTCTTAAACACTACGTGTGTTTGGTCTTATTTGGACTTTCTGTAGTCCTATCTTCTCCATTAAAACACACACACAAAAATACCTCAAGACCAAAAAACCAACAGAGTAGTTTTTGAATTTGCACTACAGATATCACTGAACCAACAAATTTATTTAGTTAGTGCTGGTAAACAGCAGCCTTGAAAGATGCCAGGAGCATCGGTGGTTACCTGGTCTACTTAACGATGGCACCCCTGCTGTTACCTTTGACAAGCCAAAGGAAGGATTACTGAGCAGTCGCTGAAACCTCGTGGGGCACAAGTTACACACACACATGATTCTTGATTCAGAGTCAACCAATCCCCAGCACAGCTGTGAAAAGGCGGCAGGCAGCCATGCTGTTCTTCATGATCAGGAACACATCTTGCTTTCAGCGTGTGAGAGTAACAGCATTGATGTAAATGTGCCTCAAAGTGGGAACTGAAACATTAATATAAAAAAGTCAAATAGAACTAAGTTCTTGGAACTACATATAAAAACTGAATTATTACAACTAAAGCAGCAAATCAAAATATCTGCTGAGGTTTTCTGGTAGAACTAGAAAAAAAAATTAGTTGGTGCCCATGTTTGGTAAGTCACTACCACTGACAAAACTAAACCCAAAATAGGAAATTGAAAAGTGCACAATGAAATTAATCTTGGATCAAGTATTTACGGAACATTGGAAATGTTTGTCCGGTATAGTGACGAATAGCAATTTTGAGGAGGTATTAGAGTTTGTCCGAGCCAGCCTTGGCCTGGCGCTCCACATAGAAGAGGACGTAGGCCTTTGCCTTCACGACGGTGTCCTCATCAGTCAGCGTCACAGTGCTGTCATTGAAATGGAACCAGCGACCTTCATGCTTTGCGTATGCTGTGTAATGTCCAGAACCGACCCTGTACGGGAAAAGTCAAAAGATCGAAGAAAATCACAAAAGGACCTGCGCAGCCGTATGATTTGTTATACAATAAATTATAATCAGTATTAGAATAAATCCTAGAGAACTGTGGTTTAGGATGGTTTATTGAGCTCACATGTTTATCTTCCTCAAAACCTACTGAAATGACAAGAAATATGTTGATGCTGGAAAACGGGGAAGAGTGTCATCAACGGACTCGAAGTTGAGGGTTTTCTAGAACACAAAGGCATAGTCGCATGGTACTGGGCGAAGGGAGAAACCAAACTCTCACCCTAACGAGCACAGGTCGAGGCCTATGGAAACACGAGCAACCGAGAACCAGGCTTCCCGTCGTTGTCTTGCTGGAGGAAACTGACCTTAGGAAAGCAGCCAGGCCCCAAGAAAGTGCCTCCCCTACTTTGGTCATCAGGGCTCTTCTCTACGGGCAGGGCCCACCTGCTCCCGCTGGAGCCCTGGAGTCAGCCCTCCTGGGCACAACAGCCTGAACACAGGCTAGACACCTTCACAACCATTAGAAAAACCCTCCCCGTTTACTTACAGTGACCAGTCTCATCATTTATTACGATTCTGAGTAAACAACCAAAAATCATCAGTCATAAGAGGAGAAAAATAGCATGAAAGAGAAGGGCTAGGAAAGGCAGTCATTAACCCCTGAGGTGAATACAAAAAAACAAAGAAAACTTTAAAAATTCTAATTGGTACCAACAGTTTCAAGAAGATACTGCCCCCATAAAACACGAATAGGCTATAATGAAAGAGTTTTAAGAAAAGTGTGACCTCCACAACATAAAAATTCATGGAGGAGCTAATCTTCAGTTCGGACACAGATGTAACCCAAACTGGTGGTTTGGCAAAACAGGCCATAGCAGTCTTCAGGAACATGAAATGGGAAGCATTAAAGAATAGTTAAAATAAGTGACAGACCTGGGAAATTTACTATGCATTTAACAGGTGTTCTGGAGGGAAGGATGGGGAATGGCATGGAACTTACACATTTCCGTCAGCTGAAGACACCAGACTAAGGTTATCCCTATCAACTACCAAGTAGGAATCTATCTGATGTTACTTCTTTTTTTTTTTTTTAAAAAAAAGCTTTTTAAGTTATTAAAGAATGGTATCAATTTGTTTTTCCACTTATTGATGAAATTCATTGGCTGATTCTTGTATGTGCCCTGACTGGGGGCCGGACCTGCAACCTTGGCCTATCAGGATGCTGATGATACTTCTTAAGTCCAAAGACAGAATCCTACAACCTTCCAAAGAGAAAAAACAGGTTGCCTAGAAAGAAGTGAGAGACTTGTAGTGGACTTGTTTACAATTTCTATGAACAGTGAAGTTGTGAAGAAATGTCCACAAAGTTCTGAGGGAAAAGGATTTTCAACATGGACAGTGAGTGGCTTGCCCAAGTTTGAAGGTAAAATAGCCATTCTCAACAGACCAGAAATCAGAAAGTACAACAAACTTTCAGGGAAAAGAAAGAATTATTCAATAAAATAAAAGAAGTATCTTTAAAGCACAGCACATGAAGTTAGTTTTAACTAATTTTCCATTTTCCCCTCATCCATCGGTGAAGAAAGTACCTTGAGTGAAAAGAACGCCCAGGACTTTGTGAACAGCAGACGGGGTTCCGGCCGCGGGGCTCGGAGGAACCACGCTCCTCTCCACACTGGTGCGCCTTCTCTGCGCGCTTCACAACGTCCTCACAGGACAGCCTTTCACACCAAAACTGAAGGGAAATTCTACTTCACTCACTTTAATGTATCCAATGAATCCATTACATACATTAATGTATTTAATGAATCCATTTTTTAGGGAGTTTGGGGAGAATTTTCAAGAGTGGCACAAAATTGTAATGATACCTTGGACTAGGGTTTGATCTCCAAAATATGTAAAGAACTCCACATCAGGAAGACAAACGACCCAATTAGAAAATGGGCCAAGGACCTGAACAGACACTTCTCCAAGGACATTCAGAGGGCCCAGAGACATATGAAAAGATGCTCAGCATCACTAGCCATCAGAGAGATGCAAATTAAAACCACAGTGAGACACCACTTCACACACCAGTCAGAATGGCTATCATTAGTAAATCAGCGAACAACAAGTGGTAGAGAGGTTGTGGAAAAAAGGGAACCCTGGTACACTGTTGGGAATGCAGATTGGTGCAGCCACTGTGGAGAGCAGTATGGAATTTCCTCAGAAAACTAAAAATGGAAGTGCCTTTTGACCCAGTGATTCTGCTGCTGGGATTAAAAACTGAGAATCCTGAATCACGAATTCAAAAGAACCTACACACCCCAATGTTCATAGCAGCACAACTTACAATAGCCAAGTGCGGGAAGCAACCTAAGTGCCCATCAGTAACTGAGTGGATCAAAAACCTGTGGTACATTTACACGATGGAATGCCCTAAAGCAGTCCTATACTGTGTCAGCACGGATGGAACTGGAGAGCATTATGCTAAGCGAAAGAAGCCAGGTGGTGAAAGACAGATACCACACGATCTCACCTATTAGTGGAACTTAATCACCAAAACAAACCAGGAAGCAAAATATAACCAGAGACATTGAAAGTAAGAACTGACAGTAACCAGAGGGGAGGTGGGAAGGGATAAGGGGGAAGGGTTGTCCAGGAACGTGTATAAAGGACATATGGACAAAGCCAAAGGGGGCTGGCACACTCACCCGGAGCCGTGGTGTACCACCACGGCAGCGAGGTCGTACAGGCAGTTCTCAGGGCCGCTGTTCTCCGGCTACAGAACAGGGAAGAGGGCGCCCAGGGCTGGGTTAGCAGCAGTGGTCAATGGCATCAGTACCTCCCACCTCAGTGACCTCTGCCACCCTGTGTGTGTGAAGATACAATTTTACCGAGGAGCCACCTTTTCAATTCGCTAATGAAGGTGCCGCCTTACCTCTAGTAAGTAGCATTTCATGTCGAGGCCTCTCAGTGGAAACTCTACGTATGTGTCAACTTTGTTTCTTAAATATGCTGTCCAATGAAATCTTTTCAAATGTAAGCATAGCACCTGGATCAGAAATAAGGACAAAGATTGTAAACAAACACCTAATTTACCTTTCAATCAAAATTAACTACTTGGTTAACTCAAATATTTTAGGTGCTTAGCAGTTTTTGTTCTGGTCCTTGACATTGCTTTCTTCTATCCATACATGACTGTGAAATTATGATCTGTAATCATGGAATCTATATTGGGTGTTAGTTTTTCTGGCAAATGGCTCCTTAAAATGCTTAGAATTTCCTAAGTGATGAGAATGATAAAGGTGTCTTATGTTAATAAGGTGACAGGTGGACCCCACCTTAGGATGAGGGTTTGGCCTCCTCGATCTCGAGACGGGACAGGGAAGGAGGTTGGGTCACCTGCCAATGGCCGGTGATTGCCCGGTGGTGCCTACCGAATGAAGCCTTTGTAAAACCCCGAAAGGACAGCACTGGGAGAGCCTGCACCTGCCACTGCGCTGGGCACCGAGCTCCACAAGAACGAGATCTTTTGTTTAGGACCTTCACCTGGTTGTTGATTTGTATCCTTTAATATCTTTGGTAATAAATCGGTAATCTAGTGAGTAAACGGGTTTTCTCAGTTCTGTGAACCTCATTAGCAAATTAAGAGAACCCAAGAGGGGGCTTGGAAATCTCTGATTTTTAGCCAATCACAACAACAGGTATCTGAAGTCTGAAAAGAGGGCCAAGATAACCTCCAGTGTGTAGCTCAGAAACATGAAGAAACAATCTGGGCTTCTGACCGGCATCTGAAGGGGTGGGTGGTCTTGTGGGATTGACCCTTAACCTATGGAACCTGATGTTACCTCTGGATAGTGTCAGAACTGAGTTCAAGCGTAGGGCACCCAGCTGGGGTGGGAGAATTGCTTGGTGGTGGCGTGGGGGCACCTCTCTCCCCCTCCACACACTGGACATTGTGATCGGGACACACTTAGGGTCTGCATTATCAAAAGGCTTATTAAGCTTTTCCTGAAAACACTGGAGACCAATACAGAAGAGATTACATCGTTACAAAAATAATTTGCTTTTCATCAGCTGTGAGTACTTGTCCCTTGAAATTGCATTGTAATTTGAAACTCAACACTTACCTTGGGTAATTTTTGAATCCAAAACTTTTTAGTGGACTTTTGTTTCTTTTTGCATTTGTGGCACATGTATAACTCCGTCTCATCAAGTTCTTCTAAGTCGGTGAAACTGCGAAGACAATCTAAAACCAAATCGGTTTGGCAACGTTACAGCAGGGTGCCTTTAACAGAGGCGGTGCTCTGTGGAAAACGAGGCTGGACTTTGAAGCTGGACACTCAGACTCAAACCTCAGCTTTAACAGCTGTGTGTGACCATGGGAAAGTCAGCCTTTTTCAGTTATAAAGTGAGGATGATGGTAGTATTGGTAACACCTACTCTGAAGAACTGCTGCAAGGAGACCAGTAATGCGTACAAAGTGCCTGGCTGACACCTGGTAGTGGTCGAGTAATGACAGGTGGAACTGTTTTTTTCAGATGGCATTATTGTTGGGTTTGCTGTCATTAATGAAAGAATTAGTCTGGATAATTCTGATAAAGGTGTTTCCCTAATGAAATCAAAGTTCAAGCAGCGATTTTCTCTCGAAGCTCATAAAAAAGTCATTTAGAGCAAACATTTTCACAGCCATAATTTACCAGAAGGGAAACGTGGATTACAGTGCAGACGGCTGCCTTACGGGCCTTCCCACTGTACATCCAGCGAACCCTCCGCTCCAGACCCTGCTTGCAGCCCTCCAACAGACCGCATCTGTGTGCGTGTGCAAGGGTCTGTGTGCTCTGCGCCTTGGTAAACAGTGGCTCCATCCAAGCCACGTCCAGCCACTGGTTTTGTGAACCAAGTCCGGCTGGAACACAGCCACACCCATCCCTGTGTGTACTGTCTGACGCTGCAACAACAGGGCTGAGTCACTGGGACATGGGACTTTACATGCTGTAAAGCCTAAAATGTTTCCTCATCTGGCCACTTAGGGAAAAAGTTCACTGACTCTGATGCAGTCAGTCATCTATTCAGAAATCAATATAAAATGTACGCATCATTCTGTAGAGAATTAATAACACAGTCTTCTTTTTAGAAAAAAATATGAATGCCTTTGTACCCACCACTCAGTTAAAGGAATGGATTCTCCGGACTTGAGGGGCCAGGGTTTATGTGAATGGCGTCCCTTACAGACGTGCAGGGGAAGCCGGTGGGCCGTGTGCGGGAGCTTCCTGTGCGCCTCCCTGGAATCACAAGTCCCTCTCTCCCCCTAGAAGCAGCCAGTGTCCACTTCTGTGTTAATCATTTCTTTGCTTATCTTTACAGACCACACATACGTATCTTTATACAAAATAATGTTTAGTTTGAAAAGCTGGGTAGCATGTGCAAACACAGCTACAAAAGGAAAAGCAACACTGTCTCTGTACCCCAAGGCTCGGCCGGCCTTGGCTTCCGTGACAGAGGGAAGACAGAGCCCCTTGTGGGGAAGTTAGAGGTCGAGGTCTAGCAGGGCACAAGAGTAGCCAGGGGACCTGTGCATTCTTTTATTTTTTTAATTGAGGTGTAACTGACATAGAACATTAGTTTCAGGAGTATAACATAATGATTTGGAAATTGTGTATGTTGAAAAATAATTACCTCAGTAAGTCTAGTTAATGTCCATCACCATACATAGCTACAAAAATCTTTTTTCTTGTGTTTAGAATTTGTAAGATCCATTACTAACTCTCAAATATGCAATATAGTATTACTAACTACAGTCGCCATGCTGTACATTTTATCCCTGTGCCTTATTTATTTTATAACTGCAAGTGTGTGCTTTTCAACCCCCTTCACTCACTTCACCCTGCCTCTGGCAACCACCTATCTAGTCTCTACATCTATGAACTGGGGTGTTTGTGGGGCTTTTTTTTGTAGATCCCACATATAAGTGAGATCAGATGGTATAGTACAGTATTTGGCTTTCTCTGTCTCACTTATTTCCCAAAGCGTAACACCCTCAAGGTCCACCCCTGTAGTCACAAATGGCAAGGCTTCCTTTTTATGGCTGGAGACTATACGTGTGTGTGCGTGTGTGTGACATTTTGTTAACCCGCCTGCCCACTGGTGGACACTTTGGTGGTTTCCATGTCGTGGCTACTGTAAACAATGCTGCAGTGAACATGGGGGTGCAGGTATCTCTTCAAATCAGTGTTTTCCTTTTCTTCTAATAATCCAGAAGGGGAACTGCCGGATCGTGCGATAGTTCTATTTTTAGTTTTTTGAGGAACCTCCATGCTGTTTTCCACGGGGACGGCACCAATTTACATCCCCACCAGCAGTGCACAAGGGTTCCCTTTCTCCGCGTTTTCAGCACTATTTATCTTTTGGATAACAGCCATTCTAACAGATGTGAGGTTATACCTCATTGTGGTTTTTTCATATGTACTTTAAAAAAAATTATCTCATTGTGGTTTTGATTTGCATCTCCCTGCTGAGCTAATGATGCTGAGCACCCTTTCATGTACCTACCTGTTGGTCACCTGATACATTCTTTGGGAGGATGTCTATTCAGATCCTCTGCCCATTTTTCAGATTGTTTGTGGGGTTTTTTGGTTTTTTTTTGCTATTGAGTTATGTGAGCTCTTTATGTATTTGGATATTAACCCCTTATCAGATATGTGATTTGCAAATATTTTTCCCATTCAGTAGGTTGCCTTTTCATGATGTTGATGATCTTGTTTGCTGTGCAGAAGCTTTTTAGGGTGATGTAGTCTCACTTGTTTACCACCCATGGTTTCTTCTGGGAGTTTTATGGTTCCGGGTCTTACATCTGAATCCCCAATTCACTTTGAGTTAATTTTGCTGTATGGAATAAGATAATGGTCCAGTTACATTCTTTTGCATGTGGCTGTCCAGTTTTCCCATCATCCTTTATTGAAGAGACTGTCCTTTCTCCACTATATTATTGGCTCCTTTGTCCTAAATTTTCCATATATACATGTGTTTATTTCTGGGCTCTTCTGTTCCATTGATTATGTGTCTGTTTTTGTGCCAATACTATACTGTTTTGATTACTGTTGCTTCATGGTACAGTTTCAAATCAGGCAGCAAGACACTTCCAGCTTTGTTTTTCTTTCTCAAGGCTGCTTTAGCTATTTGGAGTCTTGTGGTTCTATACAGATTTTAGGAGTGTTTGTTTTAGTTCTCTGAAAAATGCCACTAGATTTTTTGACAGGGATGGCAGTGAATCTGTGGATTTCTTTGGGTAGTATGAACACTACAATATTAATTCTAACAATCCATGAGCACAGAATATCTTTCTGTTTGTGTATCTGCAATTTTGGGAGGAGAAAATATATTTATTCTTTATTATTTTTTAAAGTTTATTTTATTGTATTTTTTCATTACCATTTACCCCCTTATACCCTCTTCCACCTGCATGCAACGCGCCCCCACCCCCCGCACATCTTCAGCTTCCTCCGTCGGTGTCGTAGTGTTCAGTGTGCAGGTCTTTCACTGTGTTGGTTAACTTTATTCCTAAGTATTTTATTCTTTTTAATGCAACTGTAACTAGAATTATTTTGTTTTCTTTCTAGTAGTTTCTTAGTACACAGAAATGCACCAGTATTTGTACACTGATTTTGCATTCTGCAACTTTACTGAATTCATTTATTAGTTCTAACAGATTTTTGGGTGAAGTCTCTAAGACGTGCTATATATATAATATTATGTCATCTGCAAACAGTAACAGATTTACTTCTGCTGGGCACTGTTTATCTCTTTTTCTTGCCTAACTGGCTAGGACTTCCAATGCTATTTGATGAAAGTGACAAGAGGGGACATCTCTGTCTTCATCTTAGAGGAAAACTTTCAGCTGTTCAACTGTTCCGAGTGTGTTTGTGGTGGGCTTGGCATATGTGGCCTCTACACCCACTTTGTTGAGAGGTTTTCTTTTTAAATTTTTATTTATTTTTAGAGAGAGGGGAAGGGAGGGAGAAAGACAGGGAGAGAAGCATCCGTGTGTGGTTGCCTCTCACGTGCCCCCACTGGGGACCTGGCCCACAACTCAGGCATGTGCCCTGACTGGGAATCGAACTGGCGACCCTTTAGTTTGCAGCCCACATCAATCCACTGAGCCACACCAGCCAGGGCTATTGAGAGTTTTTAAAATCATAAATGGATACTGAATTTTGTCAAGTGGTTTTTCTGTACATGCTGCTATCATATGATTTTTAGGCTTTATTTTGTTAATGTGGTGTACCCCATTGATTGGATTTGTGGCTACTGAACCAGCCTTGCATCCTCAGGATAAATCCCACCTGATCATAGTTATGATCTTTTTAAGGCATTACTGAACTTGGTTTGCTAATATTTTGTTTAGGACTTGTGCGTCCATGTTCATTGGAGACATTGGCCTGAATTTTCTTTTTCTTGCAGTGTTCTTGCTTGCTTAGGGTATCAAGGTAATAATGTTCTCGTAAAACTAGTCTGGAGCTGTTTCCTTCTCTTATACCTCGTGGGAGGTTTGAGGGAAGTTGGCGTTCATTTTCCGTGCATGTTTGGTAGACTCACCGTGAAGCCGTCTGCTCCTCGACCTCTGTTTGTTGGGGGGTTTTCAATGTCTGATTCAGTCTCCTCACTAGTAATTGTTCAGGTCTGACATTCTATTTTTTTATGATTCAGTCGCGGTAGGCTGTGTATTTCTAGAGATTTATCTATTTCTTCTAGGTTATCCAGTTTTGTTGGCATAAAATTACTCATAACAGGCTTTTACAATTCTTTGTATTTCTGTGTATCAGTTGTAATGTCTTTCACTTCTGATTCACTTTAGTCCTCTCTTCTTTTTTTCTTGGTGAGTCTAAACATTTGTCAACTTTATCTTTTTAAAGAACTGGTCTTTGGGGTCAATGATCTTTTTGTTGTCATTTTAGTTTCTATTTCATTTTTTTTCTGTTCTGATCTTTGTTCCTTCCTTCTACTACCTTTGGGCTTCATTTGTCTTGTTTTAGGTACTTAAGGTATAAAGTCAGGTTGAGATTTTTCTTGGTGTTTGAGGGAGGCATTTATCTCTGAATATCCCTTTGGAACTGCTTTTGCTGCATGCCACAAGTTTTGGCATTTTGTATTTCCATTTTCATTTGTCTCAAGGTACCTTCTATTTCTCTCTTCTTTTTTGACTCATTGTTTTTCAGTAGCATGTTGTTTAATCTCCACATTCCTGTGAAT